AGCACCAAGAATACAGAGCATCCCTTGCCCCAGACCGAGAGTTCTTATAAGAACATAAGAGAAGTCAATGTTGGATCAGGCCAATGGCCCATCCAGTCCAACACTCTGTCACACAGTGGCCAAAATATACCAGGTGCCATTAGGAGGTCCAGCAGTGGGGCTAGGACACTAGAAGCCCCTCCCACTATTGCCCCCCCAAGCACCAAGAATAAAGAGCATCCCTTGCCCCAGACTGAGAATTCATATAAGAACATGAGAGAAGCCAATGTTCGATCAGGCCAATGGCCCATCCAGTCCAACACTCGTGTGTCACACAGTGGCCAGAAATACCAGTGCCATCAGGAGGTCCAGCAGTGGGGCCAGGACACCAGAAGCCCTCCCACTGTTGCCCCCTCACCACAGGCACCAAGAAGGCAGAGCATTCCTTGCCCCAGACCAAGAGTTCCTAATCTATACGTTGTGGCTAATAGTCACTGATGGACCTCTACTCCATATATTTATCCAGTTCCCTCTTGAAGCCGTCCATGCTTGTAGCTGCCACCACCTCCTGTGATAGTGAATACCATGCGTTAATCACTCTTTGGGTGAAGAAGTACTTCCTTTTATCCATTCTAACCCGACCGCTCAGCAATTTCATCGAGTGCCCACGAATACTTGTATTGTGAGAAAGGGAGAAAAGGACTTCTTTCTCTACCTTCTCTATGCCATGCATAATTTCGTAAACCTCAATCACGTCACCTCTCAGTCATTCTTTCTCCAAGCTAAAGAGCCCCAAGTACTTTAACCTTTCTTCATAGGGAAAGTGTTCTAACCATTTTATCATTCTAGTTGCCTTTTTCTGCACTTTTTCCAATGCTATAATATCCTTTTTGAGATGTGGTGACCAGAACTGTACACCGTATGCCAAATATGGTCACATCATCACCGATTTATACCGGGGCATTATGATACTGGCTGATTTGTTTTCAGTTCCGTTCCTAATAATCCCAGCATAGTGTTGGCCTTCTTTATTGCAGTCACACACTGTCTCAAAATTTTCAGTGAGTTATCTACTACGACTCCAAGATCGCTCTCTTGGTCAGTCTCTGCCAGTTTGGACCCCATCAATGTGCATTTATAGTTAGGATTTTTGGCTCCAATGTGCATCACTTTGTATTTGGCCACATTGAACCCCATTTGTCACGTTGATGCCCACTCGCCCATCCTTGACAGATCCCTTTGGAGTGCCTCACAGTCCTCCCTGCTTTTCACCACCCTGAACAATTTCATGTCATCCACAAATTTAGCCACTTCACTGCTTACTCCCAACTCTCGCATGTATGCCATCTGGGCCTGGTGATTTATCAGTTTAAGTTGTCTATCAGTCATAGGACCTCCTCTCTTGTCACCTCAATCCTCAGGTCTTTCAACACCCCTCCCAAAATCAGCGGTTCTGGAGTGGGCAAGCACTTCTCATCTTCCACAGTGAAGACAGAGGCAAGAAATGCATTCAGCTTCTCAGCCATTTCCCTATCATCCTTCAGTACTCCTTTTACCCCTTAGTCATCCAAGGGCCCCACTGCCTCCCTGGCTGGTTTCTTGCTTCTAATATATTTGAAGAAAGTTTTATTGTTGATCTTTATATTTTTCGCTATATGCTCCTCATATTCCCTTTTTGCCTGCCTGATCACAGACTTGCATTTTATTTGCCACAGGCTGTGTTCCCTTTTATCAGCCTCACTGAGACTAGCTTTCCACCGCTTAAAGGAATCCGTCTTACCTTTTGCAGTTTTCATTACTTTGTTAACATGTAGGCCTTTTTCTGTACCTATTTGTGCCTTTCCTCATCTGCGGTATATATATTTTTTGAGCTTCTAGGATTGTAGTTTTAAATAGTATCTGAGCTTCCCCAATGGTTTTGACCCTTTCTACTTCTCCTTTCAGTTTCCTCCTCACATGTGCCGTCATTTCAGAGAAGTTACCCCTTTTGAAGTTAAAAGTGGTTGTGTTGGTCTTTCTGGGCAACTCCCTATTTATACAAATGTTGAACTCAATTACATTATGGTCACTGTTCCCAAGCGGTGCAATCACTTTTACAACTCTCACCAAGTCTTGGGCGTTACTTAGGACCAAATCCAGGATCGCCTCTCCCCTGGTAGGTTCTGTGACCATCTGCTCCATAACACAGTCATTGAGAGTGTCAGGAAACTCAATCTCTTTTCCCCGACTTGAACACATATTGACCCAATCAATGTGTGGGTAGTTAAAATCACCTGTTACAACACAGTTATTTTGTCTAGCCCGTATCTTTAATCCATACATCATTTTATAATCCTCCTCTATCTTTTGATCTGGTGGGCTCATCTGGAAGGGCCTCTTCTGCATGATGGAACCTGGGGAGGGCCCACCAGAGTAGGACCCTGGGGCCAAGCGAGGGCATGAAGATCCAGTTCTGGTCAGCCTCTGGCCCTGGCTGGGATTGGGCTTCCCTGTTCCGGGCCTCACATTCAGGGTTGCTAACTCTGGTTTGGGGTATTTGTGGACCTTTGGTGTTGTGGCTGGGGAAAGGGGAGTTTGGGGAAGGGACGAAGCTTCGGAAGAATGTGATATTACTCTAGAACTGCAGTTTCTCCTAGACTCTGTCTGCCCTCCAAAGTTGCCTTTTCCTCCAGGGGAACTGTAATGTATTCAGAAGCTGCCATGAATACGTTAAGATGTAATGTGAAACATCTCATAGGGAAGCAATGTTAAGCTTCGTCTTGAACAGGGATTGAAGTCCAAGACTAATGCGACCAATCAGGTTCAAATGTATATAAGCGGGAAAGACTCTGATTGGTCCCTTATGCGCTCAACCTGATAGGTTGATAACTGTATAGTAGGAGTGGCTACATTAGCCCGGAATGTTTAAATACCGAGCAGCTGCAATGGAATAGCTGTTCGGGCTATCAGAAGTTGTACCGTGTTAGAGAAGTGATCGTTGAGCTGAAATAAACCTGAGTTTTGCTGAAATCACTCTCTGACTATTTTGTTAAGCATCGGACTTAACAGGAACTAATCTCTGTTGTCTGGAAATAAGGTGTAATTCCAGGAGAACTCCAGGTTTCACCTGGGGGTTGGCAACCTAGCTCACATCTGGCCTTGATCGTGAGGGAGAGGACATGTGCTGTGATTTGGAAGCCGTCATTCAAATCTGCTTCCACCACAAACACAGTCAGGTGGCTTTAGGGAAGCTTTCGTGGCCTACCCCCCCCCCCCCGTTAAAACAGAGACAATAATACTTGCCAACCTTACTTGGGTTGCTGACTATGGATTACTGAGCGGGTGGATGCGAAATGCCTCCAGCCCTTCCCTAAACGCTAACCAAGGCTCCTGTGATATTTCTGTCATTCTTCTTCTTTAACTTAACTGCCCTTGAGTCCTACGATTTAAGGACAGGTCTTCAACTAGTTCCCCCCTCCCTCCCCCTGTGCTTGTCTGGATTTTCTTTGTCTTTGGATTGCGGTTCCCTGTGTCTTGGATGTGGGTACATAGTGGGGGGAGACCCCCCAAAAAAAGAACGTGAGAGGGTTGAGATGACTCAGCACTGTGGCCCAAAAGTGGTTTCTGAAAGGGGGAGATGAGTCATCAGAGGGCAGGTGTGTCTCCTGGCTCATGGTTTGAATTTTCCCCATTATGGAAAACTCCCTGCAGTCCAAAAAGTAGCACGTCAGACGGAAGGCCAGGAGGGGGAAGGGGGAAGGAGCCGGGAGCAAAAGCCCCTGTCCTGAGAGGCCCGCTCTGGTGCTGATAGGCAAACTGCCATTTCTGCCCTGAAGGAAGAAGACCGGTGGTAAAACTCCGCCTCGTGAATTGCTGTAATCTTCGCAAATTACATGGGGACTCGCGTCATTTGGCAAATGAATGAGCCCAGACCTGGCAGGCAACCGGCAGGATGAAGTGGGAGGTTGGCGCAAGAAGTGGGGGGGAGCCAGGCACACAGCATGGAAACAGCAGCAGTTTCCCTTCCAAGGATTTGTACCAAGATGGGAAGGGGAGGGGAACAGAAACTCCCCCCCCCCCCAGCAGATTCTCCTTGTGCCAGTCGCAAGCTCAAGCCATATTCTGGCCTTTCCAGGGAAGGTGTTTGGCCTGAACCTGGGAAACATGCCTTGAGAGGGATGCAGCTGTAACTAGGGGGAAAAAAGAGGGGGGGGTCTTTATTGATTTATTTAAAACATGCTTATGCTGCCTTTCTACCCGATCAGGGTCCACAAGGCGGCAAACATAAAAAACCCCATTAAAATACAGTCAGCATTACAAAATAATTCAAAATACCCAAACCACTAGAAGGAGGGCCAGCAACCGCTATTGGGGTATGACAAAATAAACAAAGAAGGTTGTCCAAGGCTTTCATGGCCGGAGTTCATTGGTTGTTGTAGGTTTTCCGGGCTGTATGGCCATGGTCTTGGCATTGTAGCCAATCCATATGCAAAAGAACCTCCTCAGGAAAGCTCCTCCATTAGCATGTTTCACAGCCTGGGGAACTCCTACAAGAGAATGACTCAGCCCTCTACCCCACCTTCCTGAGTAGATATAAATTACCTGCCTACCATTTTTCTTCTCACCTTGACACAGAGAATACTTTGTCTTTCTGTGTTATACTTCTGAGGATGCCAGTCACAGCTGCTGGCGAAACGTCCGATCCTACAATGCCAAGACCACGGGCAGCCACACAGCCTGGAAAATCTACAACAACCAAACAAAAAAGGCTTCCCCTTCTGACGAAAGACCCTGATAGAAGGATACGGACAGATCTCCCTGGGGAGGGAGTTCCAAAGTTCTGGTGCCACAACTGAGAAGGCCCTTTCTTGGCTTGCAACTTGTCTGGCTTCAGGAGGTGGGGCCTCCGAGGATGACTGGAGGGAGTGGGAGATTCAGAGCTGGCAGCATTCTGGGAGCAAGGCGGGACTCACTGTTGTGTTGTGGGTTTGGGGCAGTCAGCAGGGTGTGGTGCCATTCCCTGCCTCTTCTGTTCTCTGCAGTGGGAAGAGAGCGAGGCCAGGTTGGCAGAGGCCCAGAAGTCACATGAGGTGCTGGCCCAGGAACTGGAGAACCAGCATGCGGAGCTGGAGGCCATCAGTCGGAACAAGAATTTGGTATGTGGCCTGTGGGGCCAGGAGGACTCGGTAGATTTCTGGGATGAGAACACTTAAGATGCCCAAGAGGGCAAATCAAAACCACTGGAGAGCACAGGCAGCCTTTCTCCTGCGCAGGCACAGAGATGGGAAGGCTGATCCATTTCCCCATGCGTTTTCCCCCCAGTTTTAAATGCCCCCTGGGATTTGCAGGGGGGACACATCCTGGTGACATCCAGGCAGTGGGTTTGTTTCCTCCAACAAGGTGAATGTCCAGGAGGTTATGGGGAAATGGCATTGTGGGAGGGGCTTGCTCCCCTCCCCGCAGCACCTTACTAATCTCAGCTGCTTGGCAGAGCCATTCCTGAACTTTTTGGGCCTCGCTGGCCGGCTGGAGCAGGGCCTTTCCTCAATAGCCGGGCCCAAAGGGCTCGTTGCAGAAATTGCAGATGCTCTACTCCTGAGCCATGGCCCTAAATTCACGGCAGGGTCTGTGGCTAAGAAGTGCTTTTCTGGATCCTGCCCTCCAGCCCAGCTCCACTGCCTCCTCCAGAGACCAGTGTAATTTTCCTGCAGTTTGTCCGTGCAGGAATCCTGCCGCTTTCTCCAGGGATCGTGGTGCATTCATTTCCGCCCCTGTTCTGCCTCAGGTTGATGAGCAGTTGTATCAGCTGCAGCACGAACGAGCCGATCTCCTGAAGCGCATTGAGGAGGACCAGGAAGACCTGAACGAGCTGATGGCCAAACACAAGACTCTGATTGCCCAGGTACGAGGCTTGGGGAGGGGCGAGTGCCGGCCTCCAGGTAGCTCGGCTGGCGTCTCAGGTGAGAGCAGAGGGTGAGCCTTCCCTTCCCAGTCTGGGGAGCTGCCACTCTGCCTTTTGGGCAGCCACCCCCCTACACTCAGCCGCCAACCTCATTGCACCTTGGATCGATTGACACCAGCGGTCCGTGGAGTGGCACGTGAGTCCTGTGGCCCAGCCCGGAGAGCCCGACCTGGCATTGCCAGCAAGGAGTAGTTGTGGAAATGTGTGAGGCTGGCGGAAGTCAGAAATACTCCCAGCCAGAACAGGTGATCCTGATGGTCAAATCCACACCCTTCCACCCAACACCCACCCCACCCTGGACCTTGCATGTTTTGAGCCCTCCTCTGTTTTCACAGTCTGCAACAGACATCGGCCAGATCCAGGAGCTACAGACCCAGCTGGAAGAGGTGAAGAAGGAGAAGCACAGCCTGCAGGAGAAAGTACGCCGCATCTACAGTATTCACAAATGCACACATTATGACCTTTTGTTCTCGGCACTGAAATCTCTCAAGACAACAGATTTGCACTCGCAGTTGGGGGGCTGGCTTGAGGAAACCCACACCCTCCACTGCTTGCCCCGTAATGTTGGGTCTTCAGAGGCAGACTTCCCCCTCCGCTAGCCTGCAGCCCTCCGGAGGGCTTTCTCGGGCTTCTTTTTAAGACTGATAACTGACATAGGACTGTTGCTTAATGCAACAACGACTAGTCAATTACTCGGTTTTTTTTTAATCTGAAAAATCTCTCTGGTGAGCACACCCAACCAGGTCTGGGGGGGGGGGAGAGATCGCAGTGAAGTGGAGGATTGACTAGATTGCCCAGATGCACCCCACCCCCACTCCAATTGAGACACAAAACCAGAGCAAAACCGCCCTACTGCAAGCTGCGGTAGAAATAAAAATCTTCCCGAGGGCACGAGGCACCTAGTTTGAACTGAGCTAAGGAGTGAATGTAGATGGCAAATAACTCAGCCTCGGAAAGAGGAAAGGCTCGGGAGCTCAGAGGTCAGTGTGAATCAGGAATGTGCACAGTGTTTTCTCAGTCTGATTTAGTCTTCGTTAAGATGTTTTTGCTGCGTGTCTATTTTTGTATCACATTTTTAAAAAACAAATTCAATGAAAAACTTCTTCCCGGCTCCAGCCACCCCTTCCCCCATTCTATTTGGGTGATTTGCTCGGAGCTTGGTTCCCTCGCCCAAGGAACCCTCTCCGGAACCCTCCCCGTCTAATCTCGGGCTGCTGGGAGAGAGCAAAGGTGCCCCTCTTTCACAGGCAGCCCATTTTCTTGCTTGCTAAGTGAGTCCAGTGCCTGCCAATCTTCTATCATCGTAGGGGGAGCCTCATGCCGACAGAAAGCCAGAAGACAGCCCTTGGTGTAGTGGTTAAGTGCGCAGACTCTAATCTGGGAGAACTGGGTTTGATTCCCCCACCCCTCCACTTGCACCTGGCGGGGTGACCTTGGGCAAGCTGTAGTTCTGACAAGAGCTGTCCTTGGAAAAGAGCAGTTTCTGTCAAGAGCTCTCTCAGCCCCACCTGCCTCACAGGGTGTCTGTTGTGGGGAGGGGAAGGGAAGGGAGTTTGTAAGCCACTCTGAGACTCCAAGTGAAGGGTGGGGTATAAATCCAATCTAATCTGGGAGAACTGGGTTTGATTCCCCACTCCTCCACTTGCACCTGCTGGATGACCCTGGGCAAGCCATAGTTCTGATAAGAGCTGTCCTTGGAAAAGAGCAGTTTCTGTCAGAGCTCTCTCGGCCCACACCCACCTCACAGGGTGCCTGCTGTGAGGAGGGGAAGGGAAAGGAGTTTCTAAGCCGCTTTGAGACTCCTTCGGGTAGTGAAGGGTGGGGTATAAATCCAATCTCCTCCTCCTCCTCCTCCTCCTCCTCTTCTCCTCCTCCTCCTCCTTTGTTTTGCTGCTGTTGTTATATATTGAACTCTGAGTCGCTTGAAGGCCCATAACTCCAGCAGCAGGACCTGAAGCGTAGGGAGGAGCTGAAGCAGCCGGAGGGCCCATGATCCCTGCTTTCTGTCTCTCCGCAGCTGCAGGCCGCTCAGGCCCAGCTGGCCTACTTGGAGCAGTCCATGGTGGAGCGGTCCATCGTCAGTCGCCAGGAGGCCCTCATCTGTGACCTGGAGAACAAGATGGAGTTCCAGAGGGTGCAGATCAAGCGCTTTGAGGTACGCCGCCTCCTGCACCTGCTGGGGTTGGGGGTGGGAGCCGGCCAGGAACTCTGCCCACTGAGGGCCGATTATGGGGGAGGCAAGGTGGGAGGGGGAGCAGACAGCAGTCCTGCCAAAAGGATGCTCTTGGGGACAAAAATGGCAGAGGAGCTCGGGAGTGTCGACGCCGCCGAGCGGAGCGGATTTCACAGCGGCCTTGGGAACAGGAGGCCTGTGAAGGGAGGCTGGAGGTCCCGGGCAGAGGATCACAGCGCCTTCCTCAGAGGACGGTCGCCACCCTCCTTGGGGAGGAAGCCTGGCCGGGAGGAGGAGGTAGCGTAGCCGTGGCCTTTGCGTTCTCCCGGGAAGCCTCCCCTGGCCCCGCAGTTCCCGGTGCTACTCTGCACCGCTCTTGCCACGGATCGCCTGGCAGCTGCCCCGCAGTGCGCTTCCAGAACAGCTGTGCCAACAGCTGAGAGCGTTGCAGTCTGGTGAGCCCCTAATGGGGCTGCCTGAAACGTGGGCGGGGCTGGGGGGGGATGCACCAGCCCAGGACAGGAAGATGAAGCTGCTTTGCACCTGTGGGCCATTTAGAGAACTCCTGGCTGCCGAGGCATCGATCCCCGCCACTGCAGCCGATCAATTTCTGACTGTTTTTCCTTCACTGACAAATTTGGCCACGGAGACCAAAGCGCATTCGTGCCGCTCTCCGTTCTGAGCGGGTTCTGGAAATAGGCCTGGGCGGTCTGTCATCCTGCAAGGACGAGTTGCTCAGGATGCTGGCCTTCCTTGACAGGGTGGTTGCGAAGAGCTGCAGCGGTCCTCGAGAGGCAGAGGTTTCTGCTGAGGCTGGCTTCAAAAGGGGAGGGAATGATACGTTTGTGGCTGGAACACGTTGTGTGTCAATTCACCTTATTTTGCTTTATCAGTTGTGGTTTTGCCCGTTGAGGAGGAGGAGGATGCGCTGGTGGACAAAGATGGCTTAGTCCGTGAGGCAGAAAAGGCAATTGGTGGGACATCTTATAGTCCCCCAAAGTGTGCCTCTTGAGGTGGGCCTCCTCACGCTCCCTCGGTCCAGGGCCCCGCCCACCTAACACATCAGTATGTCCAGCTCTGGAGATCTTGCCAGTTGTTGCTCACATACTTACAAGCCGGAGTCATTTCCTGCCGGAGTGCGGCAGAGCAGCGCTCCAGCAGTAAGGAGCCTGGGACGACCCCCCCCCCTGCCACCTGCCTTTCTTTCCCTTCCCCAGATGGGGAAGGGAGAGAAAGACATTCTAAACATGCCTGGGTTCCCTGCCCAATCTTCTCCAGGGAACCCAGGGAACTGCAGGGAAGGGAAGGGGAGGCGGGCAGACATGCCCCCCCTTTCCCCTGAGCCTCTCTGCTTTTGGGGGGGTTTAAATGCCTTTGTTTCCCTTCCCCATCTGGGGAAGCCACGGGGCACCTGGAGAAGATCGGGCAGGGAACCCAGGCATGCTTGCACGCCTGCCCTTTGTCGGGGGTGTGGCATATGCAAATTAGTTATGCAAATGAGCCCCTGCACCTCTTTTTCTACAAAATGACCCCTGCTTACAAGCAAGCTTTGGGCAGTCAGAAGGTTGTGAACCTTTCCCTTCCAAACACAAATGAAAGCTGCGGTTCTCAGGGAGATCAGCTTTGTGGCATGTTCTATGTCTCGGCAGAGCTGCGGAATGGACACTGGCCTGTCAGGTCCAGCAGCTCCTCACCCAGTTATGGGTCTCTCTGTAGATGCTGGTTCTGCGTCTTCGGGACAGCGTGATCAAGGTGGGGGAAGAGATGGAGAAAGCAAAGGAAGCCGAAGCGCGAGAAAAGGAGAATGCCTGCTACTACCAGCTGCGGATGGAGGAGATGAAGGCGGACCTGACAGAGCTGGCGCAGAGGGAGCTGGAAGCCAATCGCAGGAGGGTGGAGCTGGTAAGGGGAGGGGGGGAAGGACGGGGGGGGCATCTCTGGATACGCAGGAGGAGGAAGACAGAGGCTGGGGAAGAGCACAGGAAAGCTAGTCCAGAAAAGCACTTGCAAATATTTTATTTATATATTTATTTATTATTTCTATTTATATCCCGCCTTGCCGGACACGCTGGCTCAAGGCGGCTAACCGGGTTAAAATAACAAAAACAATACAGAGATAGAACAGTTAAAAATACAAGACCGGTTAAAACAGCAACAGTTACAGATAAAAACCAACAGATGATGGCGATAATCCAAATCAAACCCAGTGATAGGAGTAGCTTCCAGCAAGTTCTCAGGCCAGAAGATGTTCCAGGGCACATTCATCAGTGGCGGCTCCTAATCGAAGGACTGGTGGGAGAGTTCCGTTTTACAGGCCCTGTAGAACTGTAGAAGGTCCAGCAGGGCCCTGATGTCCTCCAGGAGCTCATTCCACCAGTATGGAGCCACCACTGAGAAGGCCCTGGCCCTGGTGATATTCAGCCTGGCTTCTTTTGGTCCAGGGAGGATCAAGCGGTGTTGTGTCCCTGACCTCAGTGCTCTCTGGGGCACATGTGGGGAAAGGCGGTCCCTCAAGTAGGCAGGCCCCTGACCATATAGGGATTTAAAGGTTAAAACCAGCACCTTGAACTGAATCCGGTACGCTATAGGCAGCCAGTGCAGTGTCCTCAGCACAGGCTGGATGTGGTCCCATGTAGAGAGACCCATCAGCAGCCTGGCTGCGGCATTCTGCACTAGCTGCAGCCTCCGGATCTGGGACAAGGGCAGCCCCATGTTGCAGTAGTCTAATCTCGAGGTGACCATTGCATGGATCACTGTTGCCAGGTCATTGCATTCAAGGAAGGGAACCAACTGCCTAATCAGCCATAGATGGCAAAAGGCCGCCTTGGCAGTGGCTGCTACCTGGGCCCCCATTGTTAAGGAGGCATCCAGGAGCACTCCCAGACTCCTGACCCTCGGCGTCCCTACCCCCGACCCGCTCCGACTCAGGCACAGGACCTCCGTCTTCGTTGGAATCAATTTCAATCGGCTCAGTCTAAGCCAGCCCATCACATCCTGAAGCGCCCCCTCAAGGTCATCTGGGCTGGAGTCGGACCGGCCACCCAACAACAGATATAGCTGGGTGTCATCAGCGTACTGGTATTTAGTTTCAGCTTAATATTCACCCTTAACCATTTAACCCCAACAACCAATGAATAGTCCAAGAAAACCTAGAATTGTTCTGCTGCCATGCTCTTCATCATCTCACTGAGAGAGGGCAACTTAGAGACCAGGCAGTATTTGGCCACTTCATTCTTCCCTAGTAATGGGTTTTAAGGAGCCATAAAGACTGAGAGATGGAGACGCCTCCCCTCCCCCGAAAAAAGCACCCCCGTCCTCCGCTGAATCTCCTCGCAGGGCCTGGCGCTGCATCCTTCCTGGTGATCGCCCTGTTGTGCCACGGAGCTGCTCTTGACAGGAGAGACGTTCTTCCTAATTGCGGAAGTGTGATCACAAACCCTTGCAGGGTGGCTCTGCGCCTTCCCGCCTTGGCTTCTCGCCTGCCTGCCTTAATGGTTTCTCAGCTCTGGCTGTGAGTTTGTCAGGAGGAGCTGGGCAATTTCCCACTCCCGATGAGGGCCGACTCCCCCCAAAGACTGCGAGCTGCCCCAGGACAAGTGCCGGCTTCCTCGGGCCGGGGTGCATGTGGAGGAAACTGATGCCAGGCGCCTTCCGAATACTCTCTCGCCCCTTGGAGGAGGACGGCTTGTTTCCTTGAATTTTGCCTTGAATCCATCCTTCAGCCCAACAGCAAATAACCAGTTTTCACCATCGGTCTGACTGGACCCATTCCAGTGGCGGCCGTCACACAAAGGACGAGGAGCAGCGCTTCCTCTCCTCTCTCCCGAGGTCTTTGGTCACTTCAGAACAGGCAGGAAGGCTCGCTAGGAACCGCTTAGTAACAGGTTGGATCTGATACGGATCTCCTCGGTGAGTAGGGTTACACCCACTGTTCCCTCTCAGCTGAGTTAGTGTGAGCTAGCTGACTGTTTTCTAGCCTCCGGCTCACACATTTTTTGCCTCAGCTCAGCAAGGAGGCCCCCAGAGCCAACTGATTTAGGCAGTAGCCCAATCGCTCGCTCAGAACTTTAATGCCGGGAGCTCACAAAGCAGAAATCTTGTTCAGAAGACTCTACAGCTTAGAGGGAGCCTTGGTTGCATCCTCCGGGTGGGGCCCGGAGATCTCTTGGAAGGGAGCTCCAGGCAACAGGGATCAGTTTCCCCCGGAGGGAACAGCTGCCCTGGAGAGCGGGGCTGGACAGCATCAGGCCCTGCTGAGCTGCCTCCTTTCCCCAAGCCCCGCCCTCCCCCAGGCTTCACCCCCCCCAAATCTCCAGGAGCTTCCGCCCCAGTCATTGCAACCCTCTTTGGAGAGCACAGTGATGGGCGGCCCACCCTGATAAATTCCGCTCATCCTTTTTGGGGCTGGGAGCACACGACCACATCCCCTCCGATGCCAACCTGGCCGGGGCTGGCTTCATGGCACCCCTGGTGCCGCCTCGCCTTCGCTGGAGACGCTCCTCTGTGCTAATTAGGTCAGCGGCAGCAAATAGCCTGTTTTGCAAACTGTTGCCAAGGGTGGGATGCTGGGGGCCACGAGCAGCAAGCCACAGACACCCCCCTCCCTCCCTCCCTCCCTCCAGGATGCACAGAGTTCTGGGGAAGACTCCAGGGGGGAGCCTCCGGAAGTGGCCTCCGGGGAGCTCTGTCGCCACCACCTGGGGGGCTCCATCGGCCAGAGAAATGCCTCAGCAGGGCCCTGCCAGTCCTGCCGGGAGGGATGTGGGAGCTCCTTGAGGCTTTGAGGTTTGCTCTCTCCGTAGGAAAGGGAATCCTGCCCCCCTTTGCCTTTGGGCACGCCCACCAGCTCCTTGGGCGGGACTGCCTGCCTCCAGCTCAGCCCCGTATTAAGGGGAAGCTCTTCCATACGTACCCCGTGCTGGGTAATGTCAACCGCGGCAGTCGAGCAGAAACAGACTGTAGCGGCTTCCCTGCTTGCTGCATCCACCGTCGCCAATTCCGGGGTGCCCTCCTCTGCCTTCGCAGGCCAAGGTGGACGGCTGCCGCAGCTCTCTGCACATCCTCTCTTCTGCCCGGCAAGCCTCACTCTCCAGGGTTCCAGGCAGGTCAGGGTGATGAGCGATCAAATTTATTGATTGGTTAAAAAGAGTTACACCCCGCCTTTCCTTGTGGTTCAAGGCAGATGACAATAGTAGTTAAGAACATAAGAACATAAAAGAAGCCGGTGTTGGATCAGGCCAATGGCCCATCCAGTCCAACACTCTGTGTCACACAGTGGCCAAAAATACCAGGCGCCATCAGGAGGTCCAGCAGTGGGGCCAGGACACCAGAAGCCCTCCCACTGTTACCCCCCCCCCCAAGCACCAAGAAGACAGAGCATCACCTGCCCCAGCCTGAGAGTTCCTATCTATACCTTGTGGCTAATAGCCACTGATGGACCTCTGCTCCATATGTTTATCCAATTCCCTCTTGAAGCCGTCCGTGCTTGTAGCCGCCACCACCTCCTGTGGCAGTGAGTTCCATGTGTGAATCACTCTTTAGGTGAAGAAGGACTTCCTTTTATCCGTTCTAACCCGAGCGCTCAGCAGTTTCATGGAATGCCCACAATTTGTTGTATTGTGAGAAAGGGAGAAAAGGACTTCTTTCTCAACCTGCTCTATCCCATGCATAATCTTGTAAACCTTGATCATGTCACCCCTCAGCCATTGTTTCCCCAGGCTAAAGAGCCTCAAGTGCTTTAACCTTTCTTCATAGGGAAAGTGTCCCAACCCTTTTATCATTTCACTTGCCCTTTTCTGCACTTTTCCCAATGCTAGAATATCCTTTCTGAGCTGTGGTGACCAGAACTGTACACAGTACTCCAAATGAGGTTGCACCATTGATTTGAAACCGGAAAACAATAGCAAACTCCAAATCTTCTTCTTCCTTCCCCCTCTTCAGAGAAATACCTGATCTAGACCAAATGGCCAGCCTGGGTCTTTGGGACACGTGGAGTGTCAGCGGTGTTTTGGCTTGGGTGGGAGGAAACCCCCAGAAGGGCTGAGTCCCGTTCAGCACCTCTCTGGGGCGGCACCGCTGTCTTTTGGAGTGACTGGGGGGCGGGGATCTTGCTTGGCCTCACTGGCTGATGATTTTAACTACCCACACATTGATTGGGAGGAAACCCCCAGAAGGGCTGAGTCCCGTTCAGCACCTCTCTGGGGCGGCACCGCTGTCTTTTGGAGTGACTGGGGGGCGGGGATCTTGCTTGGCCTCACTGGCTGATGATTTTAACTACCCACACATTGATTGGGTCAATATGTGCTCTAGTCAGGAAAAAGAGATTGAGTTTCTAGACACTCTCAATGACTGTGCTATGGAACAGATGGTCACAACCTACCAGGGAAGAGGCGATCCTGGATTTGGTCCTAAGTAACGCCCAAGACTTGGTGAGAGATGTAGAAGTGATTGCACCGCTTGGGAATAGTGACCATAATGTTATTGAGTTCAACATTTGTATAAATAGGGAATTGGCCAAAAAGACTGTCACAACCACTTTTAACTTTAAATGGGGTAACTTCTCTGATATGAGGGGACACGTGGGGAGGAAACTGAAAGGGAAAGTAGAAAGGGTCAAAACCATTTAAACTATTTAAAACTACAATTCTAGAATCCCAGAAAAAATATACACCGCAGGTTAGGAAAGGCACACATAGGTATAGGAAAAAGCCTGCATGGTTAACAAACAAAGTAATGGAAGCTGTAAAAGGTAAAATGGATTCCTTTAAGCAGTGGAAAGCTAGTCTCAGTGAGGCTGATAAAACGGAACACAGGCTGTGGCAAATAAAATGCAAGTCTGTGATCAGGCAGGCAAAAAGGGAATATGAGGAGCATATAACAAAAAACATAAAGACCAACAATAA